GTCAACCTTCCAAATGTTAGCAAGAAAAAGAACCTTTGAAGTTTTATTTTTCATTCGATTATTATTACTCAACCTCACACTAAAAAGTGTCACCAATCAAGCCTACCTGTATTCCACGAAGTACGAAGTCCAGCTAGGATGACTCCTTTTACGAATATACGACCTGAGAACTGAGGAAGCCAAAGGCCTTCGCTTGTATGACGGCCTAAAGACCCGTCGATATGGCCATACAATGAATCGGAATAACGGAGACCACATGATTGCAGCTAATGTGCGCCAACTGCAAAGCCTTCACCACTTGCTGTTATCAGATTTTTATTAGAGAATTTCTGAAACGAGAGAAATTACCTCAAAGACATCTCTTTCAAACAACAACATTCTTCTGCGCTCACCCTTAATCTTCTTGTCACAAATTACATGTTCCCCAGCAAGAAAATACAAAGCTAATCAAGAGTTTAAGAATGCGAAACGTTCCCAAATAGAACTCTTATTTATAGACTACTGAACACCGACATACATAAATTAACGCAACGACAGAAATCGTGATCAATTGATTATTGAGCTCAAATTGGGTCCCAGCCAACTATTCCATCAAGTAATTTGCCAAAAACCTAAACGGCACAACGATACCACGACAACGACGCCATATAAAAAAGCAGGCAAGGTAGATTTATAAATAATTTATCAACATATAAATATATTTATATACTGAATGTATCTGGTGTACAACGTACAAATATCACTTGGGGTAGAATGGAGCAACGAGGCAATGCATGCAAGCTGCCTTCAGTTCTGGAGATATGTGATGTCAGAACAAACAAAAGTACATGGGTTTGATAGTACTTCTCGGCAATGCGTCCAAAGCATGGAAAATTACCTCAGAAAATCACTATGAGTTCGAAATGGATTTCACAGAGTACAAAAGGTTGATTCAATTTAAATTAATTAAGCTAATAACCCTCAAACTGTTAAGTTTCTTCCTTGACTTTCCCAAACTTTGGTCAGAACAAAGCCAGTACTACAGTACGACATCAGAAGCATCTAAAACTAGTAAGCATGCATAGGACATGAAACCAACAAATAAATTGCAGCAAGTAACTGAAATGATGTTTGGTAATTTTGTAGTAATAAGCTGATCATGTGTCACAACCAAAAGATGCTTAAGCCACATATGGGGAAAACAAACAGCAAAATGCTTACAAGAAGGTGAGAATTAATATGACGTAAGTGAATAAGACACGGGTAGAACAGAGCGTCCGCTGGACGCCTCATATCACATATTAATTCATTAGCCCATACTTACACATAGAACTGACTACTTTTGATTAATGTCAGCTATCACAACGCAGAGAAATTTCACAAAATTCTGTCGCACAAGAAACTAGCTCGATGTACAGCAAAATAGAAAGGAAAATCGCTCCCAAAGGCACTCGATTATACGTAAGATATACTACTGCTGTACAAACACACGCAATTTGCAAGATAGTATTCTTCCTAAAGTCGCAAATGTAGAAAAAAATTGCAAGCAGAAAATACTAGCCACTATTCAAGGAAATATATTGCCTGCAAAAGGCAATTAAAGTGGCCATATGCAATCCATCAAAAGGAAACACTCGAGAATCTCTGAGCAATAATTTTTGCCTCTTCATTTGATTATCGCGAATTGTCGGTGCCGCCGTCTGATTCGGTGTCCGGATCCAGAGCAGGAACAGGAGTGCGTCCTGATGTATTTCGCTGCAGCGTGTTCCGCTGATTAGCGGGTTTGACTGCAATGGAAGTAAAAATTATAGAAAATGAATAGTCAGAAACACGAATAAATATAACTGCTGCATATAAAGGGGACTGATAGAAATGCGGGGCTAAGAGCTGTGAATAATATCTCCGTTCCGGTTTCAGTAGCAACCAGATTGCTAGTGCTGTTTTCAAGGTGCACGTAGTTCAACAGGTAAAACAATACACGAAATGAAATACTACAAAAAAGTACTGAAGAACAGCTCAAGCCTTTAACAATGTAACTACCATGTAAATACGCATCGCAAAAACGGTCTGCAATTTACAATACGTTATTTTTCACCAGCTCTTCTACAAATCGATTTTTTTAGATATTTGCACTCTAATAAGCAATATTAAAGAAGGAATCGCGTCTTTTACTTGGATTTCTGGAGGGTCTCCAGTTGAACAAAACAGGATAAAGATGAGAGATGCAATTAAATGGCAACAAAGAAAAGATACAATCACCAAAACTCGACCTCACCTGTGATAATAAGATTATGTGCATTTGCAACCATCATATCTGTGACTTGGTCTAAGGTTTTACCCTGCACGTAAATTCCATTCACTTCTAGCACCTGGAATTTCATTGTTACCACTGTTTCTTCTTCGAAAAGATAAGATTTTCGCGTTACAGAACATCTCACCTCATCATTGACACCTAAAAGCCCTGTGGACTCTGCCAGCCCTCCATCTACTAGACGAGAAATGAAAATGCCTTGCACTTTCGCAACACCACGTTCCGTCACCCTGACAGACGTACCATCCCTAAAAAGAGTCATTCGATGACGTGACAGCGATAGCAAGTCATATATCTTTTCTTGTTATCTCAGCAAAGCGCACCTAATGTAGAATCCAAGTGGCCGATCCGACCCGTGTTTGCAAAGTCTTACACGACGATGCGCTTCCGGAACAATGTCCACATCAATGATAGCCGAGACCTTGAAATGAAGACTTCTTTCATACTATGGCAATATTCAATCGAAACAAGGATTATGAAAGTTACAAATCAAAACTTGTTAAGTGGCGAAGGGGAAGGATTTGATTGACTGACCTGGCGGAAGTCTTCAGGATTCGAGATGGAATAGTTTCTTTTGGGAACCTTCTGAACTGGAATCAAAGCAGACAGACCTTTCCTTTTTCTAAAATATCAACAACTGCCCACAAAAAAAGAAGCGCTGACTACATCTCAAGTTTGCAAACCAGCAAAACAAACTTGAAGAGGCTGGCTAGATAATTGAGATCATCAAGAAATGCGCAAACCTGTCGCTATCAGTACCATACCCATACTTCTCCTCCCACGACTCGCCTTTTCTTTGAATCAATAAACGTAGTATTGGCCGAGCTGACTCGAATGATTTTCGCAAGTTCTAAAAATGAGATACTGAAAAATAAAGGGAAAGTAAAGTTATAAATTGCATATTATCTCAAAGAGTAGAGATAATGTCGAT